CATATATTCTTATTACATGTCATTCCTACAAGAGAAAAATAGAATGAAAACTAAAAGCAACAGTTTTATTAGAAGCACTTTTTTTTATTTATTTTTTGAGAGTGTGGGTGTACGATACATATAATATTGTTCATTAGAAGACTCATACAAATGTCAACTAATAAAAACAAAAGCAATTTCAATAGACATCTTAGACAAACATGGTTAACAAGAAAAATATAAGTACTCAACATACCACAAGTATATTTCATTGTTAAAAATAGCTCCGATTATATAAAGCGTCTATATAATAAAAGACTTTAATTAAAATATTTTATCCGCATTAAAAAAATCTTTCCATCAACTTCATTCAGAATGAATTCATCGACAAGACAAGTACCAAATATTATCGTCGATTCATCGATTATAATTTTAGCTTCAATTAAGATCTGTATTTCAGCAAGTCTATTTGGATTCATTACTTATCATACAATAATATCAAAAAATTCTCCACATCGAGTAGCACTTCTTTTAACTGCTAATGTTTATTTATCTTTGCTACTTTCCTCAATATTATTTCTTGAAGAATATATATGGATTTTATTAGGACATAAATATTCATTAGCATCTTTAGACAATGGAATACTTTGTCAAATTCGTATCTATCTTCAATATGTATTAGTAAGTGCAATATGTTATTCAAATGCATTACAAGCAATCTATCGTTTATGTCGAATTATTTTCTATACCAAAAAATCATATCAATCTTTTCAACTTTATCAAATATTAATTATTATTCAATGGATTTTATGTTTTTTAATTATCATTCCTAATCTTTGTTTCGGTGATTTTAAATATTCAATTAATGATTATAGTTGTCAACTTGATTACACAAACTATCGAGGTGTTTTCATGATGGGTACTTTATCTTTTAGTATACCAATGACTATAATTGTTGGATGTAATATCTATACAATTAAAAAAATGCGAAGAAGAAACAATAATGATATTGAAGTAATGACACAACTTCAACGAATGATTGTACAACGTGATTTAGTTGTACTTTTTAGACTTTTAATTCTACTTGGAATATTAATGACTTTTGGTATTATTCCCGTAATGATTATTTTAATAAATATTTTCACTGGACTTGTTCCATGGTGGTCATCACAAATTCAATGGCTTGTGTTTAATATATTAACAACTATTGTTAGTATTGTTTTAATAATAATATCTCCTCATGTTCATAATTTATGGAAAAGAAAGCCTTCTCATCTGAATTGTCGTCGTCATGCTGTTGTAAAACATGTTGTTATTTAACTTCATTGATGTATATTGTTTTAAAACAGTATTGATCAATTATTTACATCATATAAAAGATATTCAAATTAATATTTCCTGTCATAGTCTATTATAACGAAAAAAAACTTCATAGTATACATGTAATCATTTACTTTTCTTCTTTATTTTTCTATAATAAAAAAAAGAAAAAAAAACATCACGTCATTTTCTTTTTCTTTGAAAGAAGAGTGTGGGTGTAATTGAGTGATTATAATATCTAGATCCACACTCACCCTCCAGATAGAATGAAAGTTGATTTAAAAATAGAAAAATTATACCACACATAATACAAAGTTGGAAATCTTGTCTATTAATAACCAAGCAGCAACAGAAAATGTTCGATCAAACATCACGTATAAAATAAATCTAATTAAAAAACATATTAAGAGCTCTATGTTTTTTATAATATTTTTGTTGGTTATATAATTAGTGCCTCATACAAAATATTGTGTCTTTTCTACGTTTGATATATCTGTTTTTTTTGGCATACAGAAATGCTTATGTCGATAAAAATACCAATTATTCTCTTAAGGTATTTTTCTATATGAAATAGTTGAAAGGCCTTTTCAGTACAAGTATAATAAGGCAAAAAGGAAAGATGAAAAAATACATCGTATTTGATAAAATATAATAAATTCCGAAATATGGGTAGTATTTGTACTTGTAAACAATTCATTTATACAGAAAAACGAATCCTATACTTTTTCTTGAGGGTGTGGGTATGGGTCTAGTGATGAGATGATAAAAACACTTATCTCCACACCCACCCTAGTTTCTTGATATGATCAATTTTTTGAGAATTTATTTTCAAAAAAATGTTTGGTCGACGAAAAAATGTAAGACCAAAACTATAGTTATCATTTCATCACTTTTCGACGAAAAGAGAATTCGTCATATCAAAGTCTTTGCAATACTGATAAGAAATAGTTAACAACAACAAGCGTGGTTTTATCATATATTGACTATGTCTAGCTACTAGTTCTATCTTCATATAAAAACTTTCATTTATATACAGCATAGCATTCTTTTCAAAAGAAAAATATAGCAACAAGTAAAAACTATAGTCTACAATACTCTTCATTGACCATATCGATATTCAATAGGTGTATTCATGCAATTACTTTGCTTTTACAATAAAACTACGACAGTTTTTAGTTTCATCTATATCTCTTGTTTTAACTATTCTACTAATTTCTCTAGATTCAAAATTTGGAAATGTCCAAAGCAAAACGAGAAGTAGTTCTTGATGTTAATGATTTATCCGAAATGGGTACTTCTCTGGAAGAAGAAAATGATGCACCACCAAAACAATTACCAAAGCCATTAGCTGAATTGAAAGAATATGTTGATTCTAAATTCTGCTACTATTCACAACCTGTAGGAGAATCTGAAATCATCAGTGTTGAGCCAAAGATTGCTTATCAGTGTTCTATGAAAATACTTGTAGAATCAAGAAAGTTACGTATGAAAACACAACCGTATCCATGGAAAACTGAAAGGGTTTTGGGAAGCCGTGCACTGGGTGAGTACTACAATATGAATTTTTTTATTTAGTTATTACTTCTTAGTACATAATTGAATACTTGAAAGTAATCCTACAGATACATACGGATCAGTAGAAACCAATATTCTACTTTTGCAGCACATAATGAAGCGAATGCCTGATCACCGTGACCTGCATCCAGTTTTTGCGAACATTTTTATTTGACACTTATTCGTAGTAGTGATCATATCAATTTAAATTTTATGCTTTCTCAGAAATTCTGATAAAAACACATTTGAATTAGTGAATCTTAGTATTCGATTATGTTTCATTCGTTTTCTGAGGTTTTTACAGTAAGAGTTTTCTATTCCTCCTATATCAACCCACACCCTAATAAAACTATTTCCATAAGAGAAAATGAAATATTCTTTGATTTATATACATATATTTTGTATAGGTCGCCTTACCGAGGACACGGAAATAACTGGCGAAGCCATCGGAAATCTATGGACTGATTATTCTGTCCCTGTGCCGTCCACTGATAAATCTAAACAAGTTTTTGCTTTATCTGAAAGTACAAGCTACAGCAGATGTAGTAATTGTCGAGCAAAATGCATTGTTTCATGTTCATCCTGTAGTGGTAGCGGTGGAAATTCTTCGTAGTATGCTTAACAAGATTTATTTAACTAATAACTAGATCATATATTATATTTTTTAGTGGTGATAATGACTTAAAATGCACTGGTTGTAAAGGTTCAGGTAAAATGAGGTGCCCTAAATGCCGTGGTAATGGAGGATTTCGCCATGTGCCAACATTGACAGTTAAATGGTTTACATGTCAAACTTTATGGTTTTATCAAAATTCCTTTTTACATGAGAAAAAAATTCGTAAGGGAGAACGAACATGTATTTGGTCGGTAAATCACATTCCGTGGTCAAAATCATCATCAATAGAAGCATGTATTCAGACAATACATGACGACACTCCGGATATTCCTTTAAAAGCAAATATTATCAGAGATTATTATGAAAAACAATTTAATCCAATGCAATATAAAGATAATGAAATGCGACGATTAGATTTTTCTGTAGAACGAATGAATTTTGAAGAAGTTTGTTATACAATGGGAGAAAGTCATGTCAATAAACGAGAGCCAACATTAGGTACGAATTTTTGCATCTTTGTATTTGTTTCCTATAAAACTAATTCTATTTTTCACTTATGTAGACAACACTTTTCGATTCTGTCGATATCCTGTGTTTGGTGAACAAACTGCTATCTACGAAAATGATTATCCATACAACTGTTGTGGCTGTTTTGGAGGAAAAACAGCCTGGTATGCACCCTGTTGTACAATTCTATAAGGGTATACGATGACGAAAATTATATCGATATTTTTTTTGTAATGTTCCTGCTAGATATTAGATATTTAATTGAATATTTAGCACTGATTATACCAATGACATAAAAATCATAGGTTGAAATCTATTTACTTTTTACTTGAAAACTTTACCTAAAGTGGGTAAACATGTACGTGGGTATCATTTTCATTCCAAACCCATAATCTTCGTATGAAAAGGTTCATACTAAATATAGAAGTAAATCATGTCAATACTGTTCAAATTGTTTCTTAGTTCGTTATAAATGTGGTTGTGCGTTGACAAATTGTACAAGTGGTTGAACCTGATTCACTCGACATAGATATGCACGCAATCGCATTTGGACATTTTTAGTTAATAGAAGAGCAATGAGCATGACGATACTTTGACCTAACGTCATGAACACAACACTTATATGATAACTAAATGTTGGTATTGTTTGAGTAACTTGAGCATACAAGAAGAAAGCAATATAAGGTGAACCAAGTAAAAGTAAAGTGAGAATTGGTATAGATATTCGGACAAGTGTACGCATCTCCTTATGAAATCGATGTTGTGTTACTAAATTTTGTCGAGCAGTCAAAGTAGTACGACGAACATGAACAATAATCTTCCAATAGATTAGAGAAAGAAGAAATAAAGGAAGAATATAGATCCAAATAGCGACATACAAAATTCCATGCCAATCTAATAATGATAGTTCACATATGGAATCAACCGAATCCGATAAGATTTTTCCGCTGAGTAAAATCGGTAAGGCAAAACCAAATGATACAATCCATTGAATAGCTGATAGAGGTATGAATATAAATGATGATTGTAAGCGTCGACGATTCACAAATACAGTGATAAACAATCGATGAAGAGCTTGAACAAGAATAGAATGATAAATCAAACCTGCACCTGAATACATCAGATATGCGCGAATGACACAAAGAGAATCAGATCCACTTTCCTCATCGACAAACATATAAATACCTTGACTCGCAGTTGTCATGTTAGCCACCAAGCCGGCACATACTGTATTCATTACTAATAAAACTGATAGTGTTCTACATGATCGATTATAACAAACAATAATTACAAAGATCATGCCATTAATAATACCTATCAAACTGAATGACACTATTAATAACTTGCTTACCAAATACAACCATATCATCATCACACTTTTTCTTTTTTGAATTCTGTAAAAAAAGATTGTGCTATATAAGAGCTGATAAAAATAGTAATTTTCTATTTAAGATATTGTTCATCGAGGAAAAAAAAGAACTTAGCGATGAAATAGAGAAAATGATGGTGCGCTATTATTCTTTTTAATTTTCTCCTGTTCTTTCTATTCGATGGTGTTAATTTATATTTTTAATTTAATGTTGTGCATGCATATTGAGTGAAGAGTCTAATTAAAAAGTTTTAATCATGTAGAAATATTTTCATGCAACAAGAAGCATTTTTTTCCGTCAACAAAATAAAAAAGAAACAAAACAGAATATTGTCAATTTAGTCATTATTAAATACTAGTGCATCCGGAAAAAGTATTATCTATCCTGTTGTGATTTCATCTTAATGAAGATGCACTGTATAAGAAGATTTGAGAGTCAATACTTAGTGATCTTTCAAAGCAAAGATAAATACGCGAACAGTAAGAAAATGAGAATGACTGTGTTATCTCTAAAGTGCACCGATTTATTTTATATTATTATCTTGAACTCCAAGAATGATAGGTGTCTAGAAGAATTTGAATAATATGAAGTAAATGATCAGCAATAGAAATGAAATGAACGATAGATCTATCTTATAATTTTATTTTGTAATATATTCGTTAAGTGTTCTATTCCATGATCTCCAGTTTCATTGTGACTAACATCAAATGTGAATAGTTACTGAAAGAGCAGTTGATAGAGAAAAAATAAAGGCACTGTATCGTCTAACAAGATGAAAAATAAAGCCATTAATTAAACAAAAAAAAAAGTTCCACTATGACTGCATTTTCTTCAGATATATAATGAAGATGACGTGTTCGAGTGAGTGGGTTTAGCTGTGGATATAATGTTAAACCCACACCCACACCCACCCTCGATCTTAAAATATTTATTTATTCTTGTAATTTAGTACATATATTATCAAATATATATGAAATATAAAAAATGTTCTTTAGCGATTTATAGAAAATCGGCTACATTCATCGGCATCTCTTGTATACGAGTATTGTAGAATTGTTCGATGTCACGTAATACTGATCGATCTTCCTCGGTAACAAAATTGATGGCAACACCACGACGACCAAATCGACCACCGCGACCAATACTTTAAAATAAAATAAAGAAAATTTTTTTATATTAAATATTCAAATGTAAACTGACCGATGAATGTAATTTTCACGATTGTTTGGTAAATCATAATTAATGACAATATTGACTTGTTGAACATCGATACCACGTGCTAACAAATCGGTTGCAATTAATATTCGACTGGAACCAGAACGAAATTCTTTCATAATAGTTTCACGATCTTTCTGATCCATATTACCACACTAAATCGATGATTAATTATTTCTATCTGATGTAACAAACAAACTTACCATAGCTGAAACAGTAAAATCGCGTGCGCTTAATTTTTCCGTTAAAAATTCGACTTTTCGACGGGTGTTGCAAAAGATAACAGCCTTTGTAATCGACATTGTCTCATAAAGATCACAAAGTGTATCCAATTTATTATTCTGAATATAAATAAATTATTCATGATAAGTTTAGATGATTATTAAATACTTACTTCACGTTCTACATTAATATAAAATTGTCGAATACCTTCGAGTGTCAATTCTTCTTTTTTAACAAGAATTTTAATTGGATTCTCCATGAATCGTTTTGTTACATTAAGAATCTCGGTGGCCATAGTAGCCGATATAAGAATAGTCTAACGAAAAAAACAAATCATCTTAAAGACAAAGTAAGCATTTTTATTCCTACTTGAATATCTTCTGGCATCATCACGAAGATATTATAAATTTGTTCTTTAAAACCTTCTTTAAGCATTTCATCAGCTTCGTCTAATACAAGCATTTTGATATTTTTACGACCTGAAGAAATTTATTATCAAAAATTCAAAAAATAGATGTCAAATATTAACAACTTACGAAGAATCGATCGACTTAGCATGTCATGGACACGACCTGGTGTACCAACAACAATCTGTACACCTGATTCAAGTCGCTTCATATCATCTTGAACCTTGGTACCTCCAACACAAGCATAACATGTTACACCCATGTAATCACCAAGTGCTAACACGACTTTTTGTATCTATAGAATACGACAAAATTGTTTTTTTTTCTTTTCGTTAAATTGCACATCTCTAAATTATACCTGTTGAGCCAATTCACGTGTAGGAGCCAAAATAAGTGCTTGAGTTTCTTTGAAATTTATATCGATGCGTTGTAAAATCGAAATACTGAATGTAGCCGTTTTGCCCGTACCTGATTGTGCTTGAGCTATGACATCATGTCCTGAGAAAAATTTTGATAGTAATTAATTCTGTTTTCTATCAAATCTTAAAATTTACCTAATATACATGGCTTTATTGCTCGCTGCTGAATAGCAGATGGTTGTTCAAAACCGTAACCATAAATACCACGTAGAAGTGGTTCATGTAAATTCATCTCATCGAATTTCTCAACCATTTCTGTCCAATTGCTCTCGATTGTTCCATCTTGAACGAAAAAAAATGTTCATGAGAATATTTTGTTAGATATACATACCGACTCCCACCGAAGGAACATCCTCATCTGAATGCCCATTGGCATTATTCCTAGAATAGAAATTCATATGCATTACAAATCATGCTGAAGTCAAAGTTTTTTAATGCAAAAGGAGATTCATCTCTTATGGGAAAAAATGATCGTTTGTATTCTGACTTACTCGAGCGGAGCTTTTGTTCTATATGCGTTTGCTTTTGTATTTGTTTGAATATCGCTCATAAATGAAACAATATGGAATAATAATTCATTGAAAATATCTAGAATTATAATGGATTAAAAAATATAGAATTGCTCAATAACAAGAAAAAAAATAACGACTTTACAAATACGAACAAATTATATATGAAAGTTTCTATGGACATGTAGCAACTATTTAAACAGTGTTATTGCGAAACTGATTGTTGCGAAATTACGAAAGAAAAAAACCCACTGTAAAGTGACGTAAGTATCAGCGAATCGCAAAAAACTAATAAAATGCAAAAATAAATGTAGATGGAGGCTTATTCAGGAGAAAAAGGCTGCAAAAGGGATAGTATTTTAAACAAATTGTTTTGGCACAGATGTCGGTAGTTGTCGAACAGCAACTCTTCATTTATAATATATCATTAGGGTGTGGAAAGAACATAATATCAACGCCTATACTTTCAAATCTGAGAGAGGCACCTGAAAAAGTTCCCTTGTTAATTTAATTCATTATGAATATATTGTTTCCTAGTTATTTGAAATAACTGAATCGAAGTTTATTGATTCTTTTAACAAAAGCATGCAGGTTTAGAAATAGATTAGAAATTGGAAGAATTTTTTGTATGATCTACAATTCTGTAGTATAATTGCTGTTTGATTCTTTAAAGAATTAGGATTATATGTTTTTCATTTGAGGATTGAGAGGCATTTCATTAATGTTCTTATCATTCTTGATATATCGGCCAGGATGAAAAATATTGAAAGCGACTAGTGCAATAATCATTGGAAGACCATCAAGACATGCGAAGAAGACTTCATGAGTAATAATATAACCAGTCCAACCGGCTTGTAATTCTACTGTTCGATAAATACAACGAATAAATATCATCAAAGTAACTAAACCCATACCAAGTATAAAGATTTTGATATTTTTTGGTATCTCTGCTTTTGCCATGCCTACTCGAATGACGTATATCAAAACAAGTACTACATACACTAACATACTGAGCATTTGCCAACATATACCTGCGATCATGATATGAGTGCCAAGAGTGGTATCACTATTCGTTCGAGCTGCAGTTGCGGCTTGTCCTCCACCAATGGCTTGAATAATAAGTGAGATAAGATCAGCAATAACAAAGACCACGGTATATACTAGTGGTGGTATACAAGAGTATTGGCGACCGACTATTATGATGATCTGACCAAAGACAACATAGAGTGCGGCCGAGAAGAACGATGGAGCAATAATAAGCGTCACCGTCTGAGCAAGAAAAGCATCAAGACTTGTATCGTCATGCCACGAATAAATACGTGCAGCATAGCCTATAATTTCCGTTATGCCACCAATAACCAGCACAACGAGCCACCACATACGAGAGGTCCACACCTGATACCCATGAACAATAGTAGAAAGTACGAACAATACTAAGCCTGTAATGCCGACACCTAATGAGGGTTGATATCCATATGCAGAACGAGTGGAAGTACTCATTGAAGAAGGCGGATTTAATATTTCCTAGAAATAATTAATATGAGCGTTCAAATTGTTCTACTTGACTGTCGTTGACAACAAAAACGTAGACGAGCCAAAGCTACAAAATTAATCAACAAGAATGCTTACAACACTTCGAACATATAGAAATATAAATGGTAGTTAAGCGCATGAGAAATATTGCGAGAGTGATCGAGAACGAGGGTGACGGTGTGAATGTGGCTGATATATTAATCTGCCACTTACGCCTTCACTAAAACTCACACCTACATCTGCTGATTTGATTTTCAATCGATTATGTTGGATTTTTTTGAATAACCTGATTTTACGGAATTAAACGCAGAACCATACGTAATCGATTATGTTAGATTTTTCTGAATAACCTGATTTTACGGAACTAAACACAAAACCATGAGTAATCGATTTCAATAGATTACTTCCGAGGAAATAGATTAAGATCGATTACTTTATGAAGTTTTATCAGAGACTGTTCTATTTAATGGATAATAATCGAATTTTTAGTTCTTTTGTTTTATATGGGATGGTAGATCTCAATTGCCTCACTATCGCATGAATAAAAGCTTTGAAGGAATTCGAAACATAGCGTGCAACTGTTCAAAAAGAAGTATAATCCAGACTGAGTTTAACTTATCACTCTTATGATTCTGTGAAAACATCGTTGTCAAAGAATTTTAAATCAGTATTAGCTTAGAAAATTGACAAATTTATATCATATAATGGATCATATCATTCTTACAACTACGACAAGTTTGCGAAGAAATATGGGTACACTGCACTTTCTCACTGTGCACAAAAAATTACTTACGTATTAGTCGAATGGAGAAACAAAAATAAACACGCTGCGTTTGATTTTCTTTGCTTTTCTCGTTCTATTTTGGCATAGGACAACATGGTAACGTTGCCTCTCATCGATGCTTAACGACATTTTAAAAGAAAGGAAGAAGAAAAAATGAATAATAATCTGAATTGATTCACAACAATGCCAACGTTTCATACTTTCAATAATTTCTGTTTATTCTTTCACTGTGTTTTAAAACCATCTATATCTTTTACACATCGTAGCATTTTTCAGCTATCGATAAGAAACATAAGAGAATTATTTAGTATAATATAAAATTCTCCACAAAACTGTCAAAATCGAACCAACAGTCTTTTATCCAAAAAATAGAGTGTAACAATAAACAAAAAAAACTGTTGCAATGCTCATTATTTCTTACTAACATATCGCATGATAACCGCATACTCCTTTATTCATCGCTTCATATGAAGTAATCGTAATGAAAGCAAGAAAAAAAACGCCACATCAGTATTTTTTTGTTGTTAATGCACTTCATACTCAAGGTAAAGTATAACGTCATCGCCAGTTGCATGAGTGCAAAATCATGAAAAATAAAGAATGTAAACAAGCACATTTTCCTCTTTTCGTACATAGTGAGTAGTTGCAACTTTTTGTTTTCAAAAAGTTGTTGATGATTCCAAGCAAATTCCAAAATGGCGGCGTAATGATATCCCGAAAAGGGACGATGATATATTTCAAATGGTTCAGAAAAAAACAAAAAAGTCATCCTCAAATGAATTTTCAGGGATTATACATATCATGTCCCTCTATATATAAAAAAGGACATACGTGCCTTTCATTCACTAACAAAAAGTGTTCGTCATAAAACAGATGTCATATTATAATAGTACGATACTGAACTGATTTTTCAGGGAACAGTTCGAGAATATGATTTTAAAAATTGTAATATCCACTAATTTATTAGAAAGTGCATATTGGTCATAAGCGACAGCATCTGGAAAAATTTTGCTATTGACAAAGAAATTTAACCAATAGAATTAAATGATACATAAACCTATAAATATTATTATCAATGTTTCATTTAGTAACCAGTGACACATAAAAAATAGATTTTTGATAATAATAATAATTTAATGAAATCCGTTCTCAGTATAAAACTGAATTTTATCACACAGAAATATGATCATACTATTTGGCATATGATTCATTCGATTAATAACAAACATACGGTGCAAAATAATAATTTCACCATAAGCATGAGTCACCCTTACCGATAATATTTTCTTTCTTTTTGCATTGATATTTCACCATAACTTCGAAAGAAATACAAATTACTTTTTACCATATAAAAGTACTGAGTTTTTCTCCACATTACCCTCAATTCTACAAAAAACATGCTTGACAACGAAGAACCAACCGTTAGTAAACAAACTTCAGATCCTAAATATGTAGGCAATTTACCTGATATGCCACTGGAAGCACTTGTTTTATATGATTCATCGAATGATCGTCGTTGTGTATCATCAGTTCGATTATTTCTTACTAAATATCGTAAAATTCCATGTGTTTTATATTGTTTAAGTACTGATAATTCGCGATTATTACATTCAACATCAATATTTAATCATCTTCGTGATGAATTAAAACATGATTTAGATACCGATCATATTATGGGAACTTATAATTATGAAACAGATCAAATGGATCTTAATTCAACTTTATCCGATTTAGGTAATGGTATTATGATTGAAATGAATGAAATATATTTAATTGGTGAGGTACAAAATCCTAATAAATTAAAACCGGATAATTCTGCTAATGGGTTTTTAATAGCATCACGATTACATATTTATTATCTACCTGAACATACAAAATATGTACAAGATTTAGCAAAATCTTTTAAGAAAATGATGGTTATGACAGTAGAACCAAGTAAAGTATCTACTTTACAAATGGTTTGTAAAAATCAATATGGTTATTATCTTAGTGCTATTAATATCAAAAAACCAGTTATTACTGATCTTGCACTTCATTATGGAAAGAATTTTGTTTCAATACATAATACAATTATAAAAAGTTTTAATAAAAAAGAAGAAAAAGGAATTGTTCTTTTACATGGTATTCCCGGTTCAGGTAAATTCAATATAGTCGCTTGATAATTTCGATATTTTTTTGTTTTTAAACAGGAAAAACACATTATATTCGATATTTAATTCATGAAGTTGAAGAAAAAATGTTAATTTATGTACCACCTGATATGGCAAAAGAAATTTCGTCACCAGAATTTCTACCATTTCTTATGCAATATCAAAATTCAATTCTTATTATTGAAGATGCTGAAAATATTATTAAAGATCGAAATGAATCTACAACACCATCACAAGCTGTTGCTAATCTACTTAATTTGTAAATAAAATTTTTTAATTTATTTATTCTTACCTTTTTTGTTGTTGTTTTAGATCTGATGGTTTATTAGGTGATGCTATGCATCAACAAATACTTGCTACATTTAATTGTGATTTAACAACTATTGATCCAGCTCTATTACGTAAAGGACGTTTAATTGCAAATTATGAATTCAATAAATTAGATATAGAAAGTTCGAAAATTCTGTCAGATAAATTAGGATTTGGCATTGAACATATTAATGAGCCAATGACACTTGCAGAAATTTACAATCATGGTGAAGGCAAAGAAGAAAGCGAAGAAGAAAAAAAAGAAGAAGAAGAAGTTATTATAAAAAGACAAACAGGATCATCGCGAGGGAGGGGCCGTGGGGGACATTATTGTCAGTGATTTTTGAATAAAAATGCCAACTTCACTCTTTTTGTGTCATGGATACGAATATTACGTAGTCAAATTTGTAATTTTGATCCCACCAACTCGGGACACTTCTGAAGACAAGAATAAACCAATAATCGATTATTACAAATTGAAGTGTTTAAATATAATAAAAAACGTTTCCGTTTTATTACATTTTAATTATCTTATTATGGTTACTAGAATATCAATTTATAATCAATCATATAAATAATAGTGAATCTCATAGACGTAAATATAAATGATCATAAAATCTGAAGAATATGTTCAAGCGAAAGCATTTGATTTGTGACAAATCAAAAATCCTTGTGAACTGTTGTACTTAGAAATGTGAATGATTGATGTAATAAATAAGATTACAGTATTCATATTAATCACACCGCCATTCACCACCGTTAAGATTTATTATATCTATCATCTGTTAATGTCGTCTGCATTCTGATGTCTTTTACTTGCGTGAAGTGTCATATATATACGGGGGAAAAAATAAGGAACGCTTCACGATTTTGCGTGTCATCCTTGCGCAGGGACCATGCTAATCTTCTCTGTATCGTTTCAATTTTATTACATATCCCCACCGAAGTGGAAGATGTCAAATAATCCTTTCTGATCACTTATATACTGAATTCAAACAAAACAAAAACAAAAAGCTGAATAGATAAAAAAATCTCAAACTTCAAACAATATATGACATCCATAAAAAAGAAAGAAATGTTAGTTAAGGATTATTTTTTCATAATGCATAGGGGGGGGGGGGGGGGGGGGGGGGGGGGGGGGGGGCTTTGGAGCCGCGATCCGCCCTCCCAATCTTAAAAAGTTTTGCTTTTGTTGCTCGCCAGTTTATGAACATTTTCGGAAAGTTTTAGAAATCATCTTCAAATTTATAAAAAACTTACAAGAGACGCCGCGATTTTTTTAAAATTTTCTTATAAAGTTTGAAAGATCTTTGAAAGTTTTTTGAACATCTTCAAAAATCTAAAACAAAAACACAGAAGATGTTAAAAATTGTGGATAAACTGGAGGCATTTTTTAAAAAGATCTTGAAAATCTTCCAAAATTTCTGAAAATTCTTAGAATATTTTGAAACTTTTCAGAAAATCTCGCAAAATTCATCGGCGCCCCCACAATATTTTGGACTTCGGAACACCCCTGAATATAAGTGGTTGCAAGAAAAATACCCAGTCAGGTACATATAAAACGTAATCGAGAAAAAAGGCTGTTGAGAAACAAAGTTGGAAAAAAAATATTAAAAGACAGAACAAATAAAGCCATAAAAGTAAATATAAGTAATGTTTTTGAAGTAAGCGATGTGGAAAGAAAAAAAATCTATCGAGGGATAATCGAAGCACAAAAAAGACGGGTATGAGAGTGTGGATGTTTTGATTAGCTGACATCCACAGTTTCAAGATTTTTACAAAACAATGCAGTTATCTTTGTTGATGAAATTGATAATGAAATATTTATCGATTATATTCTGCATACGTGTGACTCAGATCTTTCATACTTTTATTTACTTGATAAAATGTTTAATGACGAAATTCAAATTGTAATTTAGGAAATAATCATAGTCTTTTTCACATCCATCTCTAAAATGGTGTCTCCTTTGATTTCAATTCATAGTCAAAATCACTCTTGATGCATTATGATATTTGGATATATTATCCTCTCGGATGTGGATATTCTTCTCATTCATTATCTACATCCACACTCTAAATGTTACAGTTATCATTCGATCTCTATTATAATATTCACACCATTATCTTCATGAGAATTAATTCGTTATTTATAAGCAAAAATAGATACGAATAATAACTATACATAAGCATAGAACAGATTGATAATCGATTTTTATTATTATATATGACGCGGAAAAGAAAAAGTACGAATCGTTCTCTCACGAAAATAAACGAGTGTACTCGTTTTCTCAAGGGGGAAAAAGCGATTTATGATTTTTTGATTAAAATTGATTTTTGTGATTAAAATTGATTTTTCTTATTAAAACTGATTTTTGTGATTAAAAATGACTTAAGCTGATTTTTTATGATTTAAATTGAGTTAAGGTGATTTAAAACTCACGTAAATTAAGCACCACAACATGACTTTACGGTGGTTTAAGATTATTATTTCCCTAGAAATATACATGGGGCATATGAATGCTTGTACTTGTCTTTTATCCAGCTAATCTATCAAGTAATTACTGAAGTAAGCAATCAATTGGTACATATGAAAAGCTTAGATATGTACAAATATACATGCCATAGTTTATTTAATGTATGTAATCTATATGTATATAAGTTTAGAACAAAACATTTAAAATGAAATGTTTTTTCTGCATTTTGAGTTACAATTCAATTAAGATTATGTATAATGATTGGAAGATGAGCTGAATGTTAGTTAACTATGCCAGTTAAAGAAATAGAGAAATGAAACGATCATTTTTTGTTACACACATACATTGTCTATCTGTGAAAAATAAACGATCTAAAAAATTTATTTCTTTTGAACTCTGATTGATCGATCAGATGATAGTATACGCTTTGTTTTGGAAAAATACCAGTTTGCAGCATATTTGTGCATAAATTTCTTTTGTCCATTCGCTTCGACAGAAAAAAAACAATGCACTTTGTTTGCTGTTGATAGAGTCAAAGATACGCATTCCATGAAATGTCGAATTCAACACATCAGGAAGAACATCAGCATCCGATTCATCGCTTAATATCGATTCGTCGTAGTCATCAATATTATTATTTCCATTAGACTGCTTTTGACTCAAATATTCTTCATACTCGTCGTCTACGTCTTGTTTACTATTATTCTCTTTCTCGTAGAGAAGAGTCCAGTAATCATAAATTGTTTGCTTGCTTGCTTGCTTGCTTGCTTGATTGTATGTCCGCAGGGTCTAAAAAACATTCAAATTTAATTTTTCAGATACTTCCAGGAAAACTTTCACTGAGGGGTAATCGAGGGCGGGGAACTTGAATCTGAGGTCAGTTTATTAAAAATAATTAGTTAATAATCAGTTAATAATTAATATTATTAATTTTTGAAAAAGTTTGACCGAAGGGTAATCGAGTGCCAATAATTCGAATATGAGGTTAATTCTAGTTAAAAATTAATTAATAATTAATTAATATTATTAATCTTAAAGATAGCTCCAAGAAAGTTTTACCAGAGGGTAATTCTAGAATCGATTTTTTAGAAAAGACATTTTTGGGACATTTCGATGCGGAGACTTCGAATCTGATGTTAGTTTTATAAAATAATTTTATGGATCACTTTTTTAGGGAGAGAACCAATTTTTATAAAAAAAAAGTTTTCATAAGGGATGACCGAAGGGTTAGCGGGGTGGAAGAACACAAATCTGGTGTTAATTTTTCCAAACTGTATAAGCAAAAAGTTTAGTATTGTAGAATACGATTTCTACGAGAAAGAGCTGAGCGAGTCCGCAGACGAGCGTTACTTGTTTGATGGATGATCTTTCTGGGTAAAAGTTTTACATTGTGATCTTGTTAACTTCATAAATGTAATAGTAGAAAGTTGAATTCAAGTATTCATTTAAGTATTCAACTATTCAGTTATCAGGCAAATAAAAGACGTGTAGGAATAGAACAACGATAAGATGGAAATGAGCACGTGATAACGATAAGATGTGGATGAATATACGTTAATGAACCGAGAAAAAGAAAATATCTTTCCTCTCTATCTTTCCGCCTTAATGATAGTAACAAATCGAACAAAATTCTTCTCGTTCTGTATTATTTAATTTTAAATGGAGGGACAAAAAGAAATTCTATATTAAAATATTCTACGACTATAGAGGACACATGTTTATCATAAAATCAAACCGAAAAACTGTTTGTTGTGCTCGGCAATACCATATGTGTATCCAATAACGTATATAAACGTAATGTGTTTTAATTATGTCAGTTACAGTAGTAATTTCACAAAGTTTCTGTCATGAGTCGTGATGATTAAAAAATGATTTATACATGATTTAAATGATTAAAAAGTCATTTTTAACTGATTTAAATCAGCTTTTTCCCCCTTGACCTTCATATATCTTACATATATATGAAGTTATCACGAAAATTTCATGTTTTGTGTCTTCGCTGCACGCTTGATATACATCACTTCTACTTGATAAACTGTACCATCTTCCGCAGTGATTACGCGACTTCTCTGAAAGTTTCTTCGGTTGCTTCATGGGTTACATATCTGTTCTCTATTTCGTATATGTAGTATAGTGTCTAAGAACTTTGGAAAGTTCCAGTGTTTCTTGTATAGTTGATAGTATGGATGGTTCGATATAGAATTTTCGAAAAATGCGTTATAATGTCCACTTAGTTTCAAGAATCTTGTTTTCATATTTGAGAACTACTTGTAGTACTTCCTAAACATACCGACCATGATCAATGACGATACTTCTCTAGAGTATACTATCAAACAAACTATCATCTTCTGAGGAAATTTCTATTTCTGCTTTATGATATCTTTTTTACTAGCTTTGTATCAATTCATAGTTCAAATTCAGTCCTTTTTGTGAGTTATAGATTTCATCTATGAGTAGAATATTCATTGTGTCGTCTTATTAAAATGTTGAAAAACAATGATTTATAGCAAGGGGAAAAAAATAAAATTTCGTCAAAACATCTAAAATAATCATATATTGAGTTTAAATATCAGGTGCTCATATGAGAAACCATGCGAATGAGTTTAGTATAGATATATCAATCTAACAACATAAAAAGATGTTTGCACTATTCGTTCTTTAATCAGCCACACATTATTTATGTGTTATTCTTTTCTTTTTCTCAAATATGATAAACACACCCAAAAAATGTGAAAGCGCTACTCACACACTGATAACAAGTGAAGTAAGCACCGTCGTAGTTATCTTTTCGATGTAGAACAGAAAGTAAAATACGACTCTTCTTTTTATGCGTATTTAAAAGCGTGTTGAAATTTATACTAACGATTTTTGTCAAAGGTATGATTGGCGATTGTGATGAGGACAAAGTGAGATATTCTTTAATAGGTAAAATTCTCCCCACTTTTTCCCATAAGTAAGATTTGGGTGACTATCTTTTGTATTAATTGTATCTGTTTGATTTATTAGAAAAAATTAAATTCTAATCATATTTAAATTATTCGTAGATCATTTCAAACGATGTTTATTGGTGTATTCATCATTAGTATATTATGTTATATTATTTATGAAAAGAAATTATTTATGATATTACCTCAAATGATATTTCAATGGTTTGACTATACAATTACAGCAACACATTCAATCTATTTATTGATTGTACTTACAACATTCTTTTGTTTTCTATTAGGAACTCGTCGAGTATTAAAAGGACCCATATGTTTCTTTTTTATTTTAATTGTTGTTATTGAATTATTTTCTTATATATTATTACGATATTTTATTCGTTTATTAGAATCAATATTTATTCGACCAGCTGTATTAAATAATGCTGAAAATTATGACGAATGGTATCAATATGCATTTGAAACTGATAAATTACATGGAAGAGAAATATGGAAAGGAAATTCTGAATCAAAATATTATAATGATAATTTAATTCGAGTATTGACTAATGATTTAAAAATTTCTCGAAAAACAAATGATGTCGAAAAAATTATTAAATTATTACATATGTGTATTAACAAAAGTATGAATGGAATATTAAATGAACATTTATATTCAAAAACTTTAGTTGGAACAAAATATGTTATAGAAGAATATATCGAAGAAATTGTTACTAGTTTAAAATATTTAACAGAACAAGGTCAATTACTTAAAAATAAAAATATTTCATCATCATCACCCATTGATAATCTTGCATATTTATCGAATGTAACAACGGAATTACTCGATATTAATTATTCTGAATTAGAAAATGAATTCTCTGATCAAATAAATAATGATAATAATTCTTCGAGAGAAAATCTATCGACTGAATTTATATTACAAGCATTAAAAGCAATGAAATCTCATTATGGTGTAACAGCATTATGTTTATCTGGTGGTGCTGGAATGGGTCATTATCATTGGGGTGTTGTACAAGCACTTTTATCTTCTGGTTATTTACCAAAAATAATAAGTGGTACAAGTAGTGGAGCTGTTGTAGCGGCGGTTGTTTGTACAAGATCAGATGAAGAATTACGATCAGTATTAAAACCCGAAGCATTATTATTACGTTTGAATTGTTTTGATGTTTCTTGGATAGAACGAATTAAACGTTATTTTAAATATCGTGCTATGTTTAGTCGAGATGTTTGGTTAGATAAATTACAATGGTTTGGTGGAGCAGATGATGAAACAGGACAAATTGGTTTAACTTTTAAAGAAGCATATGAAAAAACGGGTCGGATATTAAATATTACTGCAACAAATGCACGAAAACATTCTCCACCACTTTGCCTTAATTATCTATCAACTCCACATGTAACAATTGCTTCAGCTGTATTAGCTTCAGCAGCTGTACCTGGTTTAATTCATCCGGTTCATTTAATTGAGAAAATAATTGATAAGAATGGTCAAATAACCTATCGTCCTTTACATAATGAACGATTACAATATCGAGATGGAAGTTTTGAAAATGATATACCGCTAAATACTTTATCAGAAGTATTTGGTTGTAGTTATTTTTTAGTTAGTCAAACAAATCCACATATTATACCATTTTTTTTTCATGCGCGTGGACAAGGTGGTCTACCGTCAGGTTGGCGTTTACGTGGAGGAGCATATCGTGGAGGATTTTTATTAGCAACTATGGAATTACTTTTAAAAGAAGATATGAAAAAATATTTACGAATATTAGCAATGTTTGATTTATTACCTGCTGTTCTTGAACAAGATTGGTCATTTTTATTTTTACAAGAATTTCAAGGACAAATAACTATAGTACCACATGCACGACTTATTGACTATTTTCGATTGATTAGTGATATTAAAGATGTCAACGAAATTTCACACTATCTTCAAGAGGGAAAATTGACAGCTTGGAGAAAGTTTAGTATGATTAAAAATCGAGAAAAAATTCGATTAACGTTAGAAGATTGTATACAAACATTAGACAATATAATATAAATACTGCTATATACACAATGTTATCTTGCATATTCACAAGAAATTCAGTTGTTTCGTATTCTTGATAATGATTGATTTTTTTTGTAGAAAAAAAACTGAAAGAGGCGGGGAATATTAAGCTATGAAAATCATTTTCTATCTAAAATAAATTTTTTTGCAGAATATTAAAAGTTGATTTTCACTCAATTTTGACAGATTGATTCGATTGTGATTACGTGTGACTCATTTAAAAATCAATATTATCTAGAGTATAAATTATACGATATAAATATCTTTAGTTCAATTCTTTTTAAAAATATAGTGACTAGTAAGAGTAAATTGTAAGTATTGGATTTGTATAATGCATTCCAGTGTGGGGATGTCGGTGAAAGTGAAGAACAGAATGAGACCCGTACCAACACCTCTTTTCAAATGACATGTTAACTGTTTCAGAATATCGATCGCTTCTAGACACAAAAGAATGGAAAGATAATAATATGGAGAAAACCTACAATTTTGTCTCTCATATCTTATGTGCACTACCTTAATCAAAGATTATGAAGAGATCATTAAATATACTTTTTTTTAGAAGTTAGATGGCCATGAAAATGAACATCTGGAGAAGTTTTCCAAAAAGCCTCATTCTATTCTTTTTTTTTCTAAATAATTATAATGAATAATTTACTTCTGCATTTTATTCAAAACAGTTTTTATGTTAATGTAAAATAACAACTCACATCTGTCAACATTTTATTCAAAACTAACTTTGAAAAAAGAGGAAATATGATTAGTATTTCTATTGATACAGGATTTGTTTTTGTTGTTGCAAATGTCATAATATGCTCAACTAATTATTTAAGTCATGCACGGTAGTTTCTATTTAATTGAGATAACAAGTAGGGAAATATATATATTATTTTAACTCACATAAAAATAAATCAAAACTTTATTGTAACATTGTAAAAATATTGAAGTTTAGTGAAAAGAACAAGTATGAACATGAATAACAGAGTTGGAGTTGGAGAAGTAATGTATTAAATAGGAAAAAAAATAATCTTTTATTCTCTTTGAATATTTTAGTTTGTTGAAGTTAATTCTAATACAACACGATTCCGTAGATTGTATGTAAATATTATGAATTGAAATAAATCATCAGAAGAATTTGTTATTTTAGATTTGAACATTTTCGAAAGAGAAAATTAATGTGGATAATAATTTTGATTATTCTAATTGTTGTAATTATAGTTATTCCAACAACTACTGTTATGTTGACCAAAACTAAAAGAGAAAAAACAGTAACAATAGAGATAACAAGCGAAACAACAGAAATAACAACATCATCAGAGATATCAACAATATTAACAACAATAATCGAGAGTGGTATGATTTTGTTAAAACTAATTTGTTTCTTATTAAAGAATACATAAAAGAAGAATTTTTGTCAAAATTAATTTTTCTTATTCAATCTTAAATATTTTTATTCGAATGATGACATAAAATAGTTTTATATTCGATAATTAAGAGTCATAAATTATATCATTGTAGAATAATATCGAAAGGTTCACTGAAAGATGAATGAGAAGATAACATCGGATTCACAGTTCTTCCATTTACACCTATATCTTCATTCTCGTAATTTATATGTAGTGAGACAGAAATAATATGTTGAATAAAAGAAAATTTGTTTTATTTTTAAGAAATAATTTTCAGATAAAAAAAAAAATTAAAATGTTTTTTAATGTTTTATAGAACAAACACTTCCTCCTGTTATCATTGATAACAATACAAAATGGAAGCAGAATGCATCTACTGTTGCTGGAGGAAATGAATGGGGAAATGCATTAAATCAATTAAGTCAACCTCTTGGTATTTATATTGATAATGATGATGAAAGTATTTATATTGCTGACGCTCTGAACCATCGTATTGTTAGATGGGAATTTGGCGCAAAGGCTGGTGAAATTGTTGCAGGTGAAAATGGATGTGGAGACGGAATAGGTCAGCTGAATGTTCCAAGAGATGTAGTTCTTGATAAAGAGAAGAAATATCTCATCATTTGTGAAGCAAACAACTACCGAGTAATTCGATTGTCTCGCCAAAGTACTCAAGATCAACAAATATTGATATCTAATATCGTTTGTCGGGGTTTAGCAATGGATAATAACGGAGATATTTATATTTCTGAATCGACAAGAAATGGAATCACACGTTTTCAAGAAGGAGATACAGTTGGTACAGTTGTAGCAGGTGAAAATGGACCAGGAGGTCAGTTGAATCAACTCTATGGACCAAGTTTTATTTTCATAGATGAATATTATTCAGTTTACGTAGCGGATTCTCAGAATAATCGTGTGATGAAATGGATAAAAAATGCTGCCGAAGGCTTTCGTATTGCTCCAGTACAAGTTTCTGATAAAAATCCCAGTTCAATGTCTCAACCCGTAGGTGTGATTGTTGATCATACAGGTAATATTTATGTATCGAATTGGGGTAATCATCAAATAATGCGTTGGTCGCCAGATGCAATAGAAGGTAATCCTGTTGCTGGTGAAAAACAATCTGGATCGGAACCCACGCAACTCCGTGACCCACAAGATATATCATTTGACCGACAGGGTAATCTTTATGTTGTCGATACAGGCAACAATCGAATACAAAAATTTATTATTGATCGTGATTGAAGGGTTTTGATGATAAAATGACTTTCGATAAATAATTTTTTTTGTCACTTTTTAGAGTTCATTAAAAATAAGTTTAATAATCTAATTTATCATTCAACTTGTATACACAATCTTATTAGATTCCTTTTTGATTTCTATATGTTTTTTTGTCAATCTACACAACACAATATTTTCAATAAAAAACGTTCAATAGAATTTATGTTTCTATAGAATACAAATTAGCGAAGCTATCGAGTTGAGAGTGTGTGCTAATAAGAACTCGATCATTGAGTTTTTTTAATATTAACATCCACACCCTCAAGAGAATGTGAGTGTGGCAGAGAGTGCGGAAGTTCATTATTCATCTACATCTACATTCAACCATCTCATTTGTTCGAACAAAGCTTAAATTAAACAGTATTGATTTATTAATTCTTTTTCATATAACATTAATGCAATAATATATTTTTTTATCTTGGATTTGTCTTATAAAATAGCTATTATAATTGATTAAAAAGACGATGAAGAGAAATTAGTGTTTTATATTTTTATATAATTGAATCAGGAATAAATAGAAGCCTGATATTCTTCATCCACGAGGCTTTGAGTGCACCGTGTTGCATATGCAAAACTGTCAATTGACTCAACATTTTCTTGATGACAAAGCATTAGTAGAGAAAAAATTCGTCATATCAAGATAAATATACAAAATGACGATGCACTTCAACATGAAACTTATTGGTCAGCACTACACATCATCTAAGATAAGGAACAGTATAAATATTCTCATTACACTGCAACTCAATCATATTCGTTTTTTTATTTCATTCAACAAAGGTGAGAGTGTCTGGAGATAGAATGGTGTCTTTATTTATAATCAAAATGTTTAGATGCAATCTATTTTGGTTCTTACACTCGTTGTGCTCGCTTTTAGCTGCACATTGGCTCGCAAGGAGACAGTCAAACAACAGTGGAGTTTATGGAAAAATGCACACAACAAACGTTATTCTAATAACGAAGAACATCTTCGGTATGTAATATTATTTTTCATTTTGAAATTAGACTGATTATTAAACTATGAAAATTATAGTCGTGCTATATGGACAAGTAATTTGAAGATAGTTGAAGAGCACAATCTTCAAGCTGATCTTGGTGTTCATACATACTGGCTTGGAATGAATAAATATGCAGATTTAGTAATGTTTTATTCTATTTATTTTGACTCGAAGTTTTTAATCATGTTTTTTTCGTAACTAGACTGTCGATGAATTTGTAAAAGTATTGAATGGTTTCAATAGCACGATGCAGAAAGAACACAGTCAAAATCGTCAAAAATTCACATCAGATCCAAATATTGAATTACCGGATACTGTTGGTATGTATCGAAATAAATGAAAACTGTGATCTGTATAATTTATTTGACTATTTCTTTTTTAATATAGACTGGCGTGATAAAGGTGATGTTGTTCATGTCAAAGATCAAGGTCAATGTGGATCATGTTGGGCTTTCTCAGCAGTTGGCTCAATCGAGACTGCATATGCTATTAAAACTGGCAAACTTGTTTCACTCTCTGAACAACAATTAGTTGACTGTTCCGGTCCATTCGGCAATATGGGATGCCAAGGTGGTTTGATGGATGCAGCTTTCGAATATATCGAAAAAGCTGGTGGTATTGAAGCTGAAGATGCATATCCATATCGAGCTGTTGGTAAAACATGCGTATTCAATACATCGGACGTTGTTGTTAAAGTCTGTGGGTTCACTGACATTGCATCAAAAGATGAAGCAGCTCTTCAACAAGCCGTTGCAACTATTGGACCAATATCAGTTGCTATTGATGCTGGTCATACGTCATTTCAGTTATATAAAAACGGTGGTATGTATTTTTTTATCATTTCTTATTCTCATATATCATTTTATATGATTTATTTAGTCTACAGTGAACCTGCTTGCTCACCAACCCAGCTTGATCATGGTGTTCTTGCTATCGGTTATGGTACAGACTCAGGCAAAGATTATTGGCTTGTGAAAAACAGGTAATTATTATACATTCGGTATTTTATTAAATATTGTATTATTTATTTATCATCATTCCAGTTGGGGTGTAAGTTGGGGTGATGAAGGTTATATCAAAATGACACGTAACAAAAATAATCAATGCGGTATTGCTACGATGTCCAGCTATCCAATTATTTGTTGAAATCATTTTTTTTTCATTGACTTTTTATGATCGAAGCAAATAAGAACAATATATATTTTTTAATTCGAAAATAAAATTAAAAAGATATAAGTCGTTAAAAATCACTTTGTTCAAATATAGGATAGTCGGTTCGTACAAATACAAAATACTTATCAATATATGTAATAGGAAAAAAAAAGATAAAATTAATTTATTGTTTATACTCGTTCACAACAACCTGACAGGCATGCCTCACATAGTTCTTTTACGTGTGGCCCATTCATTTGACGTTCTTTATTAATATCTCGGTTCTGTGTTTCTGGTCGTTCTTCGCCATAATAATACCAACCAAATTTCTGATAGAGTGCTTCGAGATATTATTTTATTTTATCATCTTCAAACTCTGGATCAACGAAATGATTATTTCTTTTGGAGCATCTTTTACATTGTTGACCATAGAAACGCAGGGTTACTTTTCTAGATGATTTATTGGATTTTGGATAGTATAGAATTACTTGTGCTTTAGCAGATGCCCAAGTATTTGAACATTTTTTACAGAAGAAACTATAAAAAAAACTTAACTAATAAAATAAAATGAAATAATAATTAACAAACTGTGCATATCCAGTTCTCGTCATTTTTATATAATTCTTTTCGAGGTTTTCATGCTGGCTCATATCATTTCTGTGAAGAAAAGTTAATATCCAACTATCATAACAATCTTCAAATACTTCATTAAATAAATCTTGCCAATCAATAAATGACATTTTATTAACTGTCGAGTTGTTTTTCTAGAAATAATTTTTTTAATGAATTAAAATATATATTCTCCCATTATGGGTTTTTATTAATAAGAAAGAACGACAAAAACCAAGTCATAGACAATATTTGCTTTTCTTTTTAGATACAATCTACCAGGTAAATCGAAAATAACCACATTGGGTATTTTACAAATATCTTATTAATATTAAATCTATTTCCGAATTCAATCAATGAATTTGTCGTTTATTATCTAAGTGCTTTTATATTATTAATAGTTATTTTGGTCGTTTTATTTTCATTATTTTATTTTATATTGGTGATTTCGCTAGATATAATTGTAATTCAACTAGAAAGAGTTATTTTAATTATAATCAAGAAAGTACATATGAAATTTTGTTTGCTATTATTATTATGGTATAAATATGTGCTTTCATTAGTATGTTCATTGGAATTATTTTAAGTATTATTATTTCGAAGAAAATCATGAAACAACATACTGAGAAATTATGGTTACGACAAGAAGCAGAAAAATATATCGTTCAAGATTTTCAAGAAGACAACA